GATGTTCGGTTACTCCTGTCACCTTGTATACTTGATTCGGAGTGGTCCTGACCTTTTGATACACAACTGCTTTCTCAACTAATACTGGGGACTTTTGATGGGACAAACGAGCGAACTCTACTGAATTTTCAGAAATAAGATTCTTGTGGTTTTCAGGTTCGTTTTTAGTAAATTCTGAGCAGTCAACCGTGTCCTCTACAGAAATTTCACTCATGTTTTCGTCCTCGTTAAGCTCAGATGCATTTTCAACATCAATTTTGTTTTCTGAGCTTACGTTGGCGTTTAAAGAGTTAAATTTTTGCATGGTTTCGGTTCTCAGTTTAAGTCTGTCATTTTCATCCAAAAGGTTTTTAAGCATGTCCTTGTGGTCCTTGGATTTAATGAAGGACTCAATTTTGTCCAGTCCATACATGTAGGTCGGATTGACATCATCAGACGATATCACACTCTCACAATTGTAGGCTTCGGCATCGATTTCATCCTCCTTAAACTCTAGGAAGGGCAAAATCATGCGATGGATCTTTTGGCCTATTTCACAATCCAAGTGAAGCTGAGTAATATTAGAGTACAAACGTTTAGCAATTAAACAAAAAACATTCCGCTGTTTTAACAATTTTAAATTGTCTCTTTGCAAATAAATGTTTTCGTCTTTAACTTTAACTAATTCCGACTCCTTTAACTCGATCCACATTCTCCGCTCCTCACTTTTCGATGCCACCCTGCTTAATTGATCAGTTAGGTTAGAATTGGTGACTCGAGTTTGAGTTAAGCTACTATCTAGATGAGAAATTCTTGTATTAACATTTTTTAGTTCTTTCTCATATGAGGTTGATGGTACTTTGGATGAAACAAAAACAGATTGTACCTTCTTTATCAGTTCATCGAGCTCATTGAATTGCTGGCTGAGAGGTTTGGCCGTAAAGCACATGTCCTCCTGTACCTTCGGTCCATCGCTTCCTCCATCGGTGTTGTATCCCCGCATTTGAGATACATCAGTTACCATGAAGCATCTTCCTCCACTGCTTTCCTCCTTTGCCACATAAGCCTTTCCATGGGTAGGCTTCCTCACTTCATCGTCTTCTGAGTCGGTAGACCAAACTTCCGTGCTACCGAACTCGTCATCTTTAACCGAACCCTGCACAATGAGAGCATTAATAGAAGGGTTAGCGGTAGACTTCTTCTTTCTCAACTCGTCCAATCTTTTCTGCAACACAGCTTCCTCATCATTTCCATCATCTTTTTCAGCCATCTTCTTAAGGACACAGTCCTTGGCATAGTGGTTTTTCCCACCACAGTAGAAACAGCTTACTCCGGAATCGCCATCCACCTTCGGTTCCTTCTTGTGCTCCTCAGCCTTCGGTTCATTGTTCACCTTTTCAGAGCTGTAACTCCCCTGCCAGTTTCGGTTTTTGTTGCTGGGGAATCTCTTCTTTATGAACCTCTTGGGATTGGACACCATCATGGCATAATCCTCAGACGTGAGATCATATTCCTCCAAGTTGAGATCTTCATCTTCCATCACAGCTTTACTTTTAGATAGGAGGGCCAGCGAACCAAGACTAGAAACGACGTTCTTTTCTTGCACCACAATCTTTTCTTGGGACTTAAGAATACCCACCAGTTTCGCCAAAGAGTATGATTTAAACTGCTCATGGGCTTTGACTGTGGAAACTACTGCTCTCCATTCAGACCTCAATCCGTTCAAGAAAGTAACCTTCTGTTCGATAAGCTTCCTTTCAATATCGTGTTTGATCATCTTGCTGAGAAGATGATTAAAACGATCAAACGTCTGGGTCACCGTTTCTTCGGCTCCTTGCCTGAATTCTCCAAACTCAGATAAAAGCAAAGTTTGAATAGAATGTTCAAGATCCTCGTCTGTAGAGTACAGTTCACGAAGTCTATCCCAAACTTCCTTTGCTGTCGTGCATGAGCTGACCAACCTGAATGTGTCGGACTGAAGGGCGAATCTGATCAACCTTAACGCCTTAATATTGCACTGGAATTTATCCTTTTCATCTTGTGCAATATCCTTCACGTCCTTTAGCAGATCATTGTACTCCTTTTGTGTCTTGATGATTCTGGACGATGCAGAATGAGAAAACGGTCCATTGGTGATGGCTTCCCATATGAGGTACCCATTATCCTCCGATCCAATCACGTAGTCTTCAAAGTGATGCGCCCATACTTCATAGTCATGGGTGTATAAGATTGGAATCTTTGTCGTTGAACCGATGCTGTTGGAAATATTAATAAGGTTTGATTGCGTCGCGTCCATTATAATCGTAAAAACCTGTTCACAGATCAGACTTGTAATAAAGCAGATTAGGGCAAAACAATAAATATCAAGATACGTCAATAAAGAGATGACGGCTCAATAAATATTGATAATTGCGGAAAAACCCTAATGGAAATCTTTTTCACAGAAAAGATGTGTATAGATTACATAGCCTCCTGCTCTGATACCAATTGATGAGATTAAACCAACCTTTAATCTATAAAGATCGATTAGATCTTGAACAAGTATGTAAATATAAAACTGAATGAACGCAATAATAAGAACAAGTCAAGATTGAATCAAACGTGTCGAATGATTAAACAAAATCCTCAGAAGAGCTCTATTAAGAACATCAACTGTAGAGGATTGGAAGGTTACAAGAACGATTAAAGAAACCTGTTATCTTTTTGGATGAATCGCTATTTCGCAGATCTCTAAAAACCTTAACCTAATATGCATGCAAGCGTAAACTTATATACAAAACATAAAAGGTTCACGGCTGGACAGGCCCAAACCGGAATACAAAATAACTTATGCTATCGAGCCCAAAAAGACGCAATCTTCAAAATAAACTTCAGCCCAACATGGGGAAATAGTTATTTTTGGACGGGTATATAGTCTCTTATTGGCCAACCCTAACCCTAAACCCTTCCTTATGATGCAGTCACCACCCCCCTCATGAGCCTCACGGTCGTCGTCCTTGGAGCACCTCAGTCACCGCTTGCATCATCGGGTCTGGCAGCCACTCTATCCACCGATTGTCATGTCGTTTAATCCCACTGTCACGTCTCCCTTGTCGCCAGTGACGTCGAGAATCACTGGAAGATCGTTGACGACAGAAGGGGTATGTCATCGTCGTGAGATGATCGTGAATCGTCGGAATCGAAAGGAAAAATGAAGAAAACTCATCACCACCACCTTCTGTCGCCATTCCGCCGCCTTTAGCTACCATCTCTGGAGGTAGTGGGCTTTCGGGTGCGTGTAGATTGATGATTGAAGTGCTTTTGGTGTTGCGTTGGCCCAAGATCATAACCACCACCACCGTGAGGTGGTGGCTGCCGCCACAAGCCACCGCCGGCCACCACTAGGGTGGTTGTGTGTGTGTGTGTGTGTTAGAATAGTTAGTATCGGGAATCTATCATCTAGCAGTTGGGGTCGAGTCTGCGGGACTTCAGCAGTGTGGGATTGAGTCTGTGGGGCTTCAGCAGTGTGATGTGAGTTTCCTTCTAGTAGAAATGGGTCTACGACCACAATACCGACCCGTCTAGTTAACAGTCAGTCCCGGACTTTGGTCCGATGCAGTAGATCAGGGTGCTTGATGTCTTTGTGACTCAAGCATGTCTATGTGTTATGTGTTCCGGACTTCGGTCTGATGCAGTATGCAGTATATGTGTTTATGCTAATTGATGTGTTGTGCTATGCTATGTTCAGTCAGTTCTGGACTTCGGTCCGATGCAGTCAGTTTCGGACTTCGGTGCGATGCAGTTAGTTCCGGACTTCGATTCGATGCAGGGGACAAGGTCCCAATCAGTTCCGTACTTTGGTCCGACGCAGTTTCCGAACTTCGATCCGATACAGAGGGTAAGGCCCTGGTTAGTTTCCGGACTTTGGTCAGATGCAGTTTCCGGATTTTGGTCCGATGTAGTGGGCAGGGGCCAATATGTGCTAATTATGTTATTGTGTTGTGGTAGTTTGGGGGAGCTCACTAAGCTTCGTGCTTACAGTTTCAGTTTTGGTTTCAGGTACTCAGTTTTCAAAAGAGAAGCTCGGGAAGATTGCAGTGCACACACCATTTGTTCAGCCTGGGATGTTTATACTATGATATACTTGACAATTGTTATAATATTTTGAGATGCATTGCTTATGATTTTTATATGAGGTTTATCGACTATGGTTTTTATTATTAAATTGAACGAAATTTTCAGACTGTATTTTTGGGATGTTACACAAGCCCTGAGTTTCCTTGTTTGCAAACATGTGTGAGTTTGATTTAAGGTCATTATCAACCAATCAGATTCAAGATTTGACCTAGATGCATGAATATACCAACCACATGTTACTTTTTGTGTCTTTAATTCTTTACCCTTTCTTTTTGAAGTGGTAGCTTGGCTACCCACTTGGCCTTTATTGGTGACAGGTACAACTCCTATATATTGTGCCTTAATCCTTACATTGTCATTTTTTTAAAGAAAAAAATTCCTTCTTGATTCTAGTGCATGCAAATCAATTGTCTCCTTTAATTCTTTTTTACTTATAAATTTATCTCCAACTGAAAATGGCTGTTTATGTACTGCTCCAAGGCTGCACCTTTTTTTCTTTTCCCAAATTCTTGATAAGATCTCTTCTTTCTCTGGCTTGGTCAGATTCTTCATCCAAAGATTCGAATTCCTCATTGTTGATCACTTCCATATCTTCAGGTTCATGCCCATCAACACCATTTATACATGATCCTTCCACATCACTTTCAACATTGAGAGTGAAGTCTCCCATGTCCACATCCACATCTTGAATATTGTTGTCCACATCCATTATGTCATCCACTTCTTGAGATCCATCATCCTCTTCATATTGTGGATCACTTTCTTCATATTCATCATCTTCTTCGTACTCTGGATTACCCTCTTCGGATTCTCCATCCCCTTCATACTTTGCATCATCCTCATCACTTCCAATCAAATTTTCCATAAGGTTATCAAATAGCTCATTCAATTGTTGATCATCATTATTAACAGGGGATATTGTAGCATCCTTCAACAACATTTGATGCCTCTTCAACACCAATTACAGCCTCCCTAACACCATCCATCTCATCAATATGAACAGAAGTTGCTGCCTCCAGAACATCATTTGAACCATACTGGTCATCATTCTTTTCATTTGATATGTGAACACCCTCATCAATTTCTTCTAAATTAAGCCTCTTGTTGCAAGAACCTTCACCTCTTTTGGAATTCCCAACTCTACCCCTTGTATACTCTGGTGAGAAAGTGTCATGCTTACTCCCAAAAAGAATCAAAGACATGTACTCACCAATAGGCTCATCATTACCATGGTTTATATTTTTCGATGGAGATTCTACATGAATTTGACCCTCAACTTCAGCCCCTTGATTATCATTTTCTGGTAATTCCTCAATGACAACTTTATCCTTTGCATTTGGAGACATGAAGTAATTCAGTAAATTTGTCTTCCCATGCTCTGTGTACACCTCAATCAGCTTGTTATGTGCAATGTATTTAGAAAGGTTGATCACATCCTGATCATTCCCTAAAGCTCTATGACCAAATTGAAAGTCATCACTAGGTATCCTAAAATGGTAGTATATCACTGGGGATTCATTAGCGAATTCAGAATTTTGTGGGTCTGGGTAACCTAGGTCAATCATTATTGCATCAAGTTCATGTACATAAAACTCATTTATGTCCACATAATCAACATAATTCACTTCACCTCCAATGTACTTTATATCAGGTAACTTAGTAATTTCCCACCGTGATGAAACTTAATACTAAACCATGTGAGTGCACCTGCTAAAAATCAAAATTGAACATATTAACAAAGTCAAAATTTTACCTTTTTTGTTCTAAATCAATAAGAAAATGCATAATATGAAACTTAAAGGAAACATAGAAACTTACCATATACGACTGATACATCTATAACTTTATGTTTTGGTCTGATATGCCACATTACGAACACCATTTCGTACTAAACTTATGGCCTTGTATGTGTTGCATCAATCTTAAGCCCCTTGTACTTAACCCCAGAGAGCCTCCATAGCCTTAGAGCGTCCTTGTACCCCAGAGAACCTTGTGAGATCATTATTGTGCTTAAAAGAGTGCATTTGTGACCTTTTAGTGTTCATTGCAAGAAGAAGAAGTGGTTAAGCAAGTTTGGAACGTGTAGGTGCTTCAAGATCCTGCATCAAACTCACCTTACAAGGCTTCTGGAGGTAAAAAGCTTGCACCTTTCCATCTAAATCCTTAGATCTAGCTAGGGTTTTCTAGTTTTGTCCATTTGGTTGGTTTTGGACCTCTTTTGATGAGTTAAGCAACTCCATAAGATGAGGGTAGCAGATCTGAGGTCCCTTGGTTGTTTAGAAGCATAAAAATGGGATCTTGATGGATGAATAGGTCTCATGCATGGATTAAGGACCTTGGAAAGGTCTTAATGGAAGTGTTGGACGTTTATGAGGCATGCAAGGGAATAAAGTTGGCAACTTTATGCCTTAGGACGTTTTAGCAGACCTAGATCCGACTTTTAGTCGTGAGGAAATCAAGCATTAAGAACTTAATGGAGAAAGTGCATAAACTGGTTGTACGTTGGGCCTAACTAGTTGTACGCGGTGCGTAGTCCCCAAACCCTCAGTACGTTGCGTGTACCAAGATTGTATGATAGGCGTACGCAGCAACAGTTGGGCCCTAAACTGTTTTGAACCTTTGAGCCTTTGGGCCCATTTGGTTGGTGGGCTTGATTGAATTCTGTGAATTAGGGGCTTGACATCTATTATGAGCCATGGATTTAATGGTTGGGCCTTTTTGGGCCAAAAGGCCCATGAAGGATTTTGGACTTGGACTTTTAGGCCCATTAGCAAGGATAAGGTATTTGGGCCTTGAGTGAGGAATTGGAGGTTGGGTTCTCCCCCTTAGTTAATTTAAAGCCCTAATGTTGTTTATGTTATTATTATTATCCAACTCGGGAAATTGCGGACTGTTAGGAGAGCAGTAATTATATTCGGCAGACTAAGGTGAGTCTTCTCACCATACCTATGGGTCTAAGGCACCAAGGCCAACCTATTATGTGATCATGTTATGTGTATGACAATTATTTTATGATTTATCATGTTATGTGATTATATGGTTGCGTGGAAGACCCTAGGGGAGCCTGAGGCATTGGATATAAGACCATGTGGGGTAGCCCATGGTAGTCCTCGGTAAAGTCCATGTGGGGTAGCCCATAACATTGGATGTAAGACCATGTGAGGTAGGCCATGGCAGTCCTAGGTAAAGACCATTTGGGGTAGCCCATGGCATTCTTGTTGGTTCGTATTTGCATGGTTTCTGTGGTATATGTATAGCTTTAATAACTATTACAATATGTGTATGTGGATTGTGTGTGGTATGCTCTGGGGAACTCACTAAGCATTTCGCTTACAGGTTGTTGATTTGTTTCAGGTACTTCAGAGCCTAAGGGCAAGGTCAAGGCGTGATGGCGCGACGTACATTCTATCTCTCTTTTATTGACGTGTTTTGGGAAACTTTGATGACTTAAAAGAAAAATAATGATGTAATGGATGTTGATTTGAAAACAGATGTTTTGGGAATTTATGATTTATGCAAGTGGTTGCGATTAATTAAAAATGAACATTTTATTATGAAAATCGGGTTGTTACATACACCATCCTGGAAACAGATGGATACATGGAAGGATGGGGAGGAATAGTCAAATGGAAAAAGAGCAAGGCAGATCCAAGAAGTTCAGAAATAATTTGTGCATATGCAGGTGGCAAATTTTCAACAACCCAATCCACAATTGATGTTGAAATTAATGCTTGCATCAACACTCTAGAAAAACTGAAGATCTACTACCTTAACAAATAGGAAGTCACCTTAAGAACGGATTGTCAAGGCATTATTAGTTTTTACAATAAGACTAATAGTAATAAATCCTCAAGAGTTAGGTGGATCAAGTTTGTAGACGCAGTCACAAGAACAGGCATCAAAATTAACATTGAACATATAGAGGGGAAACATAACACCCTTGTTGATTCTCTCTCAAGACTTCTTAACCTTTGTTTTGCAGAATGCACCGGAGAAATAAAACAGTTATCAGTAGTAGTTCTTTGCTCAGTGGAGGAAGTTCTACAATCCCCCTATGCCTTTCAGAATAATATGAAGATCACCTGCTAAGAAATCATGAAGATTTCCATCCACTTCCAAGAATCTTCACACTTGAAGAACCAGGAGCACTATACAAAAGTTACTAGATTAGAGCCAATCAAACACCAATCAGAATGGATAAATCTAACGTACGGAGATCGGTCGCTCAAGACCTTGAAGTTTCAATAGCAAAAGAAGTAGTCAGAGTCATGTGAAGCCTACAAGCAATCATACAATGGTGCACCCAAATCTGCTTTGAAATGTCAACCAAAGACAACCACTGGTCTAACCAAGGAGAAGATGTCAGAAATCAAAACAAAGAAGCCAGAAGAATTCTCATCGAACTGGAAGCCCTTGCACAACGATTGGGGCGTAACAACATCTGAAAATGATGCAAGCAATGACAAATCCAAAGAGTTACTACAAGATGATGCAAAGGATGACGATTCAATTTTAATAGTGGACCCAGGATGGGATGATTATTGCCTGCAAGCGTTAAAACTGAATCGTCTCGTTCCACTTTGTCCTGAAGCTCGAAGGGCCCGCATATGAAAAAAAAGATGTCGACCATTAGTATGAATTATTATGTAAATTATTAGTATGAATTATCATGTAGGGTCAATGTAATATAATCAAATAATGGTCCGAGAATATTCCCTGATATATGCTATGGTTTATTCTTTTATGTTTTGGCATATTTCATATGTCATTTCTTTGTGTTTCGCCTATATAAAGATCTTTGTATCATTTGTAAAAAATCATTGAAAACCCCGTTACCACCATCATTGTATAATCAAGCTTCCATAATATTTTAATAAAAAAATGTGTGTTTTTGTACTTTACAATTTTAGTACTTGTCTTTTTGAACTTTGGTATAAGATAAAAATTCTTGACAACGTAATTTTCATCTATAGATCCTGAATATATAGTCTTTAGTAAAGATAATCATAAACCCACAACAACAGATTTAACTAATAACTTAGCTTGTGTTTATAATCGTATAGACCTATTTTCGAAAGTAGCACTATATGAGTGTAGCATTTTTTGCTAATAATAAAGCGTTTGCTTTAAATAAAGATGGAATAATTGAATGTTTGTCATTTAAATAAAGATGAAATAATTGAATATTTTGACAAACGTTATCCACAATTATACTTTCTTGGACACATTTTATTTTGCCAATTTGATGCATAAATTCCATTGAAGGTTTGGATCAATTATATATTCTTTGTACTTTGTCCCTCCTTTTTGGAATAATGTTTTCTAGTCCCCTCTTTCCATGTGTGACTTTTTGCCAAAACATATAACTTGATCCACCTATTTTTACCATTTTACAACAATTAATTCCATATTAAATTAATCAACTCTTATACTCATTTTTCACCTTTAACAATTTCCATAAGAAATACATTTTTTTTTCTTAAATGTGTATCAAAACCTAAATACACAAACATTAGCACTTAATGATGGCCTTTCCGGCGACCACCTTTCTTTCCATGCTTCTTTTTCCCACCACCACCACCACCCTTCTTATTACCACCACCACCATCACCCAACCCAAGACCGCCAGACCCACGGCTGCCGGAAAAACCACGGTCCCTAGATGGTGCACTGGTTTTCAACATATCTTTAACATCAAGGATTCCATTCCTGAATCGGCCAGCAGTTGACATCAATACCCTATCCTCCGGCTTACGTGATTCCAATTCCCGTTTGCTTCGGCTTCCGTGTTTCCCTCCAACTTGTCCAAGTATCATATTCTATATAATAAAAAAAAAACAGTTCCAACTTTAATTATAACATAGAAGTTGTGTTTAAAAAACATGTGGGAATTGTAAGAGAAATAAAAACCTCTTGTGACATCTTTTGATCCCTTTCTTTCTGTTTTTTCATTTGTACACGAGCTACACTTAGAGGCAATCTCTGCTTATTGGGAGGCTGCAATGCAACAATTGTAACATTTTTTTTATCAATTGTTGTAAAAAAAATAAAAATACTATGAAACTCACCTTTCCACCAAGAGAAACTACTTTCTTGTTTTCTAAAGCCTTCTTTTCTTTCCATGTCATATGGGAGGATCCTAAATTATAGGATAATTAAATGTGTTACATTATTTTCAATTGTATGAATCCATTTCACACCAATAAATTCAATTATTACCCATATACTGAATATCTTTCAATATTGAATTTAGTTCCATCCTCTGGGACTTCATATCCATGAATGTAGTAGAAGTTGCTACCTCTTTGTTTCCACGCTTCATAATCTTCCTCTTATCCATTCTTGTTGAGTTCAATCTGTGATGATAAACAGTAAACAGTTATCTTGTATTAAATCTTGCAGCACTACAATATGAAAATGAGTATGGGGTAATGAAGTAAATTAGAAAAGGAATTTTCGCTAATCATAGGCAATTTCTTTTGAAGTTTTCAAGGATTTATCTGTTTCTGGGTTAAACCCATGGGTTTACGGGTTTTAGGTTTAAACACGTTTTCCAATATAACCT